TGCTCACCAGGTACTCTGGGCGGGGGATGATCCCCACTGGCCCACGCTGCATGGGGGGCTCTGCACGAGCCCCCTCGACCCCTCCTCTGACTCCCCCAGCCCCCCCACAGCTGCCCCGCCTGCTGGGTCTCTGCCCTTAAGAAGACAAAAAGGCGAGAAAAGCCCCAGGACTCCCCGCTCCTGGTGCAGCTTCGGGGCTTTGGGGGCTCGTGGCAGAGCCCCCCCGTGGCGCAGGGCAATGGAGGGCAGTGGGGATTGCCCCCCACCGGCAGAAGCAGTGAGTCCCGGGGTTTCTTCAGGGTTTTTTTTTTTTTTGAAAGGGCCAGAGCTGGCCCAGGTGGGGCACCCATGAGGGGGCTGGAGGAGCAGGGGCTGGGGGGCTCATGAAGAGCCCCCTATGCAGCAGGGGAGCCAGTGGGGATTGCCCCCCACCCAGCAGCATCCCCTGAGCTGGGGCTTTTTTTCCCGCAAGTGCTGGGAGCTGGGGTGGGCGGAGCGGCCATTGCCGGGCTGGGAGAGGGGCGGAGGATGGGCCTGGCCTGACCTATTCAGAGATTCAGCCAAATCGAATCAGGACAGTGATTCGAATCACCGAATCGAATCACTGTCCCCCAACTCGGCCGAATCCGAAGCGAATACCAGCCGCTTCACGCAGGCCTATTAGATAACCCCTGATTGAAACTTTTGCAGCAGGTAAGAGTCATAAGGAATTGATCACTCACCTTCTAGTGGCAGCAAGAATTACAGTTGCAAAAGCCTGGAAGAGAAGTGACACCCCTAAAATCACTGTTTTGAAAAATTAGGGCAGTTTTAGTAATGGAAAAGTTGTCCTACCAAGTTAGTGTTCTGCAGGGTGGAAGGGACAAAAGAGGCTTGTCTAGAAAAGTGGTGGATCTTCCTAGAATGTGGTTAAAACAAAATCTTCTACCTCCAAACCAAAAAGTTTAAGAAATATTTTTGCATACTGAAGAAAAATGCAAGTTCTGGGAGCTAACACACAAGAACAAATTTGGAATACATTTAAAAGTAGATATGCATGAGATTTGTATCATGCAGAGTGCTGAGGAAAAAGGACGTGTGAATTATTATATAGAGACGTGGAAACACAAAAGCTTCACGTCACCTGAAACACAAAGGAACTGTCAGAGACTAAAAAAAGAAAAGAAAAAAACCTCCAGACTCCTGTGGGCATTGACTTGAGTTAATGGAGCACTGTTGATGGAAGATTAATATCTGACTTTATATACATTTGAGGAAGTTGGATGTATCTTTAAATATTACATTTCTTATTTGATAAGATTTGTTAATAAATAAAAAGAAAAAATCAGAACATTACAAGCAATGTTTTTGTTCTCCTTCTCGATGAAAAAAAAAAGAATATTTCAACCAAATACACTTTTTTTCCACAAAAGTTTTAATTGTGATTTAAAAAACTAATTTCCCCAAAATGCTTGAAGAAAAATGGTCATTAGCTTCTGTCTAATGAAATCCTAAGCTTCTGCAGGTTTTGTTTTTCTGGTCTCTTGGATTTTTATTACAAGAAAATGTGCTGTACGTTCCCCTGATTTACACCCTATAGGTACACTTTTAATGAGGTATAAATTAAGGCAGGATTTGTCTGTGGTTATCCTGTTTTTCAGTGAGACAGACCATTCTGGGCAGGGTGATACTGCAAACTAGTCTATTTATCCATTATGGGTAAACAAATTTAACTTACTGAAACCACAGTGAGATTTGAACATGATTGTGAGCTCTTTGCCATGGAGTTGTCAGCAGACTTGGTCAAAAAAATAATTGCCCTACCTTCCTTTTAGCCAGACAGCTGGTGGAAGAGCTGACTTGAAAAAATTTGGTGTAACAGTTTCATACAATATGAACCACATCATAGCAATGTGTCAATTTTGACAAAGTTTTCTGACTAAAAATATCAAATTGTTTCCTTTTAAATTTCTTGCTTAATTTCAGTAATGTTGAAACCATTCATTTCCCTAAAGGTATTTCAGTTCAACTGTGTTGTTTTGATTTGTTTCGTTTCAACTTTTATCTTGCATAAAAATATTAATTTTAATATTTAAGTTGTAACCTGTTTTAAATTATAATGTTTCAACATTGATAAGATGAAGCAGTTTTTTCACAGTGAATCAACAAAGTGAGTCCACGTTATCAAAGCAAGATGTTTTGACATTGCCAAAACAAAACATTTTGATGATGTTTATATGCGTCCATATCAGGTTTTTTCCTGGATTTTTTTTTCCCTGGCAAATTTTAAAATGTTGTCTTTTAATTTTGGTTTGGAATGAAGGCAACTTTTGCAATGTCAGAATTTACTATGGAGCAGAAGTCCCATTTTCCAACCTGCTTTGGCTTTCAAACTTTCACAACCGACAAAGTAGGCAGCAAATCTTGGGGAGAGAGTAAAATGGAAGAGCCAAACCTTTGGCACCCAGAAAAGTTTCTTATATTATGAGATTAGATCTAACCCTTGATCTTGGGTTCTTGCTTCTTTTAGTTTTGTGGGTAAAGTCTTGGGCATCTAGATTAAATGTTCAAGGACACCGGTGACTGCAGACTGGATCCTCAAATGATTGATCCAGCCTAAATGCTTTTGAAGATCTGGGCCTTTAAATCATGTCTAGTTGAGAGCAGTGTGTTGGGTCTGTATGAAGTAAGATGATGGGTCTTACTCTACTATTATTAAAAATAACATCAGATTTGGAATCAGTTTTCAGGCTCAGCAGAGGGGCAAGGGACCAGGGGATATGGAAGAATGGCCAGCCATCAGGTTTGCAGAGCTGTTGCCACCAGGAGCCTTATACCATGTCTCACCTTGCTTTAACTCGTTTTTACAGACTAGCTCAGTCTCCAGGCCTTCCATTTGTCTTGTACCACCAACCTGGAAACTACTTAAACAATAACAGGGACACACAAAGTAACACTGGGTAAATCTCAAATTAATCCCCGCTCTGTTTTTCTCCCACCTAGACGCCTGGATGCAAACCTTATCTCTCTGGTGCCAGAGAAGAGCTTTGAGGGACTGCCATCCTTACGTCACCTGTGGCTGGATGATAACGCTCTGACCGAGATCCCTGTCCAAGCTCTCAACAACCTTCCAGCCCTGCAGGCCATGACGCTGGCTCTCAACCAAATTGGGCACATTCCTGACTATGCCTTCCAGAATCTCAGCAGTCTCGTGGTGCTGTAAGCTCTTTTTGCTTCCTGTATATTTATAGTTACTGCTTCTTGCGGGGTCGTGCATTGACTGTATAAATACACACGAGTGATGTCACCCTCTAGTGAGTGATGTCACCCTCTAGTGAGTGATGTCACCCTCTAGTGACTAGGCCAAAATGATCAGGATACAAGTCTTTCTCCTGCTGCCACAAAGGTAGAGATCTCTTAGTTTAAACGGCAACAACCAGTGCTTGGACAAGAGCTGGTAAAAAAGGCCAATTTTTTTTGTGTGAAATTGTCAAGGTTGTTATTTTTTTTCTTTTTTTCTCTTTTTTTCCCCACTTTTTAATTAAAAAGAAAAAATCATGTTTCTAAACCTGTTGGGTGTAAACACTTTCAGGTTTTGGAAACCAAAAGGACCAAATTATTTTACTAAAAATGCAAGTTTCTGATTCTTGCTTTTTAATGGGAAATCTCTACCAATATGATTTAAAATAAAAACAATTTCTGGGGGAAAATAAGGTATTTGTCAGAAAGGTATTTTAAGAAAAGCTTTTTGACTAGCTTTGGTTTTAGAAGAAGAACAAAAGTTAGTATCTGTTCGATGGGAAGAATGCTATTTTCCTGGGATCATCTAAGTGGCAGTTTTTTAATGGTCTAAGTAGCCTTTTTGGTACTTATGCCCAGGCAACAATTCTGTTATCCAGCAGTGTGGATGTATAAGGACATGTCTACATGTTGCCTGCTAGGGTGCTGTGTTTTAGCACTTCTTTTTGGAAGTACTAAAGCACGGTGCAATACAGGTGGTTACTGTGCTGTATGCACAGTGCATGGTTAGATTTCACTGCTACATTGCTATAGCAGCACGCCAGACTGGGGGAGCACACCACTATGGCGATGTAGCTGGTGATCATGTGTAGCCCCGCATGATCACTATGTTGCCGTAGCACGCTGTACAGTAATGTAGCCCATTGCTACATCACCATAGGGTGACATGTATTCACACCCTAAGTGTACCGCAGCATGCAAAATGAGGCTGTGCACTGGCTGAGCATGTTCACAGCTATGTGCACATGCCCCTTGTGAACAAGTACCAGTAACCAACCACAGTCCAAAACTGGGCATCCCAAAACCCATGACTAGCAGATGTTAGAGAAGGGTAATGTTAGCTATGTTAGTTAGTCTGAAGTCAGGCAGAAGAGAGGGTAGATTTGCACCTTATAGACTAATTAAAGCAGAAATGCATAGCAAGTGTTAGATCCAGGAAGGCAGCACTACTATGTTTTACCTCCAATAGCTGTTCACGTCAAGGCTTCCTTCCAGGACCTGTGCATGGATTTGCCGACCTCAGAAGCAAACCAGTTTCTGATGCCTGGGGAGGTTTTAGTGCAGCCATGCGCCTGTCCTCTTTCCTGGGACTGCAGTTGTGCCAGTCTGTACCACCAGCCTGATTTGTGTTTCTTGCCCATCTCTGACACTCTTCTGCCTTCCTCCCTGGGTCGAGGGCAGGGTACACTGGGAACTGACACGGGCTCTCCCTACCTGCGAGGGCATCTCCCACATGATTCAAAAAGTGACTGCTTATAACACTACGCAGATCTTTCATTTGCAGCTTGCCCTGAGCTGAGCAGTGTTTCTCGCCACTGACAAACCCTGAGGAGCATCTTTGTTGCTTATTCTTTATACTTCTCTATCTGAGGATCTTAAAGCAGCATAACAGGGTGTGTAGTTAATATTCATAGGCATCCACAAGTGAGGAAACCAGGGCCCAGGCAAGTTATGTGACTTGTCCAAGGACACATAGTCAGTGGCAGAGCCAAGCACAGAACACAAGACTCCTTTTGCACATTGACACAGGAAGTTGGAGACCCAGTTTCCAGGCCTCCTTTGCCTAGAAGAAGTTTCAACTTGATTGTCTCTGACTTCCTAGCACAGAACTGTAACCATCACACAACAGATCAGACATTACCCAGGCCCCTTTCCAGTGCTTCTCTGAGCAACCCCTCACCCAGGGGAGGGGGACATTGTACCCAGGTCTGCAGCTTCCTGGCAGGGCCATTTTCCTCTTCTTTTATTTTATGCCCAGGATTTGTGCTTATTTTCTGTGTGTGCAGGGCTCCATGTTTGGGAAACAGAATTCCTCACCTGCCACTTAGAAGGCTAAGAAACTGCTACTTAAACAACCAAAAGGAAATAGAATTCCTTCCCATGTGAGTGTGTGTGTATATGTGTGTGCACATGCATGTGTGTGTGTGCATGCACGTGCATGCGTGTCTGTGTGCGTGCATGAGAGACAAAGATGTAATGATTGACTAGTAGTTCTTTGGAATAATTGTAAGCCCCTTTGGTATTTTCTATATTCATTTTAGTGTGCAATATAAACATATCATCTACAGGATATTGAACAGTTGAGAAGAATTATATTGCTTCCAATGACGGTGCCCTCCCAGATGGAATATGTTTATTCCACAGACAGTGAAAAACAGTAAATTCGCTACAGTCTGTGATTATATGGCAAGCCAATGTCTTTATAATTACATAGTGAGTAGCATCGGTTACATTAACTGGGGTCTTATATGTTGTTTAGCTTCCAAATGGAAGCTTACCTCTGCAAATTAGTTAGCAATTTTTTGTTTAGTGTTGATTAATAAGTTTGAATGTAATGGCCAAGTGCCCCAGTATTGCTCTTTACACATGACATAGTTACAGACTCTTCTTATGCCTTCTAATCTGTTAATACACATCTTGTGGCCAGGCTGTAAAGTATCACTGGCTTTTGGTACTTAGTGAAAGCCTAACAACTACTTAGATCTCAAAATAAAAAGTACTTACAAAACCTTATAGAAAAGCTTGGAAAATACACTTTCCAAAGTGTTACAAGGCACCTATTCTAAAGGCTTATTTAGAAGAAATTCTAAGAACTACTTGATAATTGCCAAAAAACAATTCTTTTCACCCATAAAAGTTCTCATTTTACCAGGGTATCCCAAGACAATCATTACTCACTATCTCCATTTGGCTTCAGTAGCTAACACAGGGTGTGAGTTGACTTTTGGATTCATATTTCAGTCTTGAAAGCACTCTGTTGTTCAGATTGGACATCTCATTCTTTGGGTGGGAAGAAACTTCCTACCAGGCACTCTACAGGGTTTTTGTGGGGTCACAAGTGTTTTACAGAATGAGCCACACACATCTCTGCCATGCTCAAAAAGTAGATACACTTTTCCAGTGTTAGCTCACAACCAGTGCTCCTACCAACAAGCTGCCTAGCTCTGCATTCAACCACAGAGGAGATAAAACTTTCTGAAACCTCTACAAAGAATCTCACTGAGTCAGCCAGTAAAGCTTTCAGGAAGTTTCCCCTACAAGCATGCAAAATTCATGTGCATATAGCCATGTGTGAGTATACAAACTTGCACCTGGAAGGAAAGAATATGGGTTAGCCACTGTCATAAACTTAAGTACTCTTCTAGTCTGGGAGTTATTAAAATAAGCACCTGGGGGAGGGGAGCCAAAAGCAGATGTGCAAGAGTACTGAGGAAGCTGTCATTTATAGTCTGATTAATACTCATGGACACCACTGATCAGCAGTTTCATAGCTGAGGACATGACCTTCCCAGGTGCGGGAATGTGCTTTCCTGCTGCACACACCTTGGGCCTTTGGGAAAGAGATGGCTGATCGTGTAGTAACAATGGAAAGAACCAACATCAAAATATACAAGCCTCAATCTGGAACAAGTTAGGGGCTTCATCTTCTGCTAATAAATTACACCCCCATTGAGGAATTCCCTGATTTTGTTCCCATCCGTTTCTGCTGCAGGTTTCTAACAAGGGTTGCAGAGCCCCATGTAAATCCCTCTGCTGTGAAATCTATGAAGTTTGGCAACTGGCCGCACCCCTTTGCCATCTCCGATAACTGCAGCGGTGTTGGTGCTGAGCATTAGCAAAGTATAGACAGTGGGATGGAGGTGGCTTGCTTGGCATGGGTGGCTGATGGGAGCAAGGTACTGAGGTGCTCATCTCTGAGTCTGAGCTAGCAGGGGCAGAATGTCATCGGCTGTTCAAAAATTGTCTTTCAAAACTACTCTTGACTACACCTGGGTGAGTGTTAGTCAGGACTGAGGCTGTGGGGGTCATGTTACACGGAGGAAACCCAACCTGTGTCAGACGTCTGTGACATGAACAGCTGCTTTTTTTCCTAGTGTTGGATTTGATCTTATGGCCAAGAAGCTATGGTGAGAGCAGGAGTCCTTGGGTGTGGTGGGGAGGCACATTGCAATGCTCCTGTCAGGGACCACGTTTATGGTTCAGTAAAGTGCTTGGGCCAGTCCACTGTCAGATACACATAAGGGAATTCCTTTCACCAGCCCGACTGATTTCAGTAGTCAAGCCTTAGTCTGCTCAAGTGGCAGAGCATCCTAAACCCCACGATGCACCTCCTGAATCTAGGATTTCTAAGGTACCCATTTATTACTGTGGAAATGAAAGCCTGATCTTAAATTCACTGTCATCACACAGAGTGACCCTGCAGGCAGCCCCTGTTGCTTTTTGGTACAGATAGGATGAAAGGCCAACCAGAATTAGGCAGAAGAAACCAGAACAGCCACCTCACCTACCCATAATCATTAAGAATCACCTCCAGGCAAATGCTGCATGCTTTGGACTCTACAGGCTGGGGAGATGTGGCTGTGGGACTTGGGTGAAGTCAGGGATTAGCTGCTCTCCCTGCCATCACGTCACAGCATGGGAAGTACCATAGTGCCGGTCAGCTTAGTGTTGGG